TTTTTTAGGATGCTTGTAATATAAGCCCTGCCCCCAAAATAACCCCCAGTTAACTCAGCCAGATGGATGCATTTACTGTATTACCCTGAAAATAAGACCTAACCGGAAAAAAATGCCCTAATATGTCTTTTGGAGCAAAAATTAAGACCAGGTCTTATTTTAGGGAAATACAGTAGATGACTTGCTGGAGATGATGCTCGCCAATTGGTAACCAAGGAGAAAATGGGAATTTTTCAAAACTGCTTTATTATAATTCCTATTCCTCACCTTATTCCCACATTTAATTCATGTTTTGCTGCAATTTATGCAAGTTCACCATACTTTTAGTACGCTTATTATGAAGTAACTTTTCCACAACACTCCCAAGTTTCATCTACTGACTTAAGCAGGGGCCGTCCAATTTGGCAACTTTTAAGACTTGTGTCTATGGAGATTCTCCATCATCCAGGTCATGGTTGTCCCAAAGGTGCTTTCTTCAGAGGCAACTGGACTTTCTGTTTTTTTTTTCTTTTGAAGATGTTTCACTTCTCATCCAAGAAGCTTCTTCAGCTCTGACTGGAAGGAGAATAAACCCATCAGGACTAGATTCAGCAGTCCACCTGCATTTAAAAGACCCAGGCCATTCTTTTGAAGACAACAAAGTCCACATTCTGGACAAAGAGGACTGCTTGTTTGAAAGAGGTCAGAGTCCATCTTTGCCAAAATTGAACAGTCCTTTCCCAACAGAGGTGGGGCATAATCTATTTCCAGTCTACAACACAGTCCTTTCAGCCGTTCCAAGAAGGCTCCACAGCCATTTGCTCTATTCAGGTGACCATGATGACACAGATAAACCTCCAGGTGGCCTTATCGACTCGCTAAAAGAATACAAATGACCAGCTATCTGCAAGAAACATAAACCCATCCCCCACCATCCAAACAGCTTCTTGGAAGCTTCTTGGATGAGAAGCGAAAGGTCTTCAAAGAAAAACAAGAAAGTCCAGCTTCCTCTGAGGAGGGGTGAGGGAAGCACCTTTAAGACTTGTGGACTTCAATTCCCAGAATTCCCATGGCAGGCTGAGGAATTCTGGGAGTTGAAGTCCATAAGTCTTAAAGTGGCCATGTTTGGAGGTCCCCCCGGTGTAAAGGTTAACTAGGCCCCAGACCACAAGCTGTCAAGCAATCTTCAAAACCCTCAAAAGTTCTGCCCATCGAGTTCAGAACTGAGAAAAAATTCAGACGGCTGTTTCTCCATCTTTGTGGATCGTCTGATGTTTATGCAGGATCGAACTCCGGCTGAAACTCTTCCCGCACTCAGAGCAGCAATACGGTTTCTCCCCCGTGTGGCTCCTACGATGCGAGATCAAGTGATCACTCCGACGAAATCCCTTCCCACACTCGGAGCACTTATAGATTTTCTCCTCAGAGTGGATTCTCTGGTGTAAAATTAAGTGCGGGCTCTGGCTGAAACACTTCCCGCATTCAAGACACCCGTAGGGTTTCTCTCCCGTGTGGATTCGCCGATGCAGAGTCAAATGAGTGCTTTGATTGAAGCACTTCCCGCACTCGGTGCACCGGTACGGCTTCTCTCCAGTGTGGATCCTCTGGTGGGAAGTCAGGTGGGTGCTTTGCCTGAAACTCTGCCCACACTCCGGACATCGGTACGGCCTCTCGCCCGTGTGGATGGCGCGATGTACGGTCAGCTTCCGACTGTGGCTGAAACTCTTCCCGCACTCCGGACAGGCGTAAGGTTTTTCTCCCGTGTGGGTGACCTTGTGCAAGATGAAATAGGTGCTCTGGCTAAAAGTTTTCCCACACTCCAAACATTTGTAGCGCCTCTCTCCGGTGTGCATCCTTTGGTGTTGGGACAGGTGGCCGCTCTGCCGGAAGCCCTTGCCGCACTCCCAGCATTGATAGGGCCGTCTCTCCGTGTGGATTCTCTGGTGGACTTTGAGGCGGGATTTGGAACAAAAACTCTTCCCGCACGTGTGGCGTTCGTTCTGTCTCCTCTTCCCTGCTGTTTGTGACTCGGCTGGGATCACCTGGCCGGCATCTTTGCTGGCGATGGAGACATCTCTCTGCTTTTTGGCTGCCGCCATTTTGCTTTCCCGCTGTCTTTCTGAGTCATCCAGAATCCTTGGGGGTATTTCTGCCTCTTTGGGCCAAACTTCCAGAGAGATCCCACCTGCTTCCATATATTTTTCTCTCCCTCACGGTCCTCCTGAGGAAGGAGGGGGAAGACCCAATTAATCATTCAAGACAAAGGTAGATTTAGGTGACTATTCTCAAGCACTAGGCCTGTGTTTTTCAACCTTAGCAACTTTTAAGATATGCGGACTTTAACTCCCAGAATTCCTCAGCCACATGCTGTCTGGCATGATTCTGAATTTGTCCAGATCAGTAGTTGGAATCTGCCAGTGGTGGTATGCTACCGGTTCAGCCCGGTTCAGACAAACTGGTCATTCAAAAAAACAAATTAGCGTTACTTAGGTGAGCCTGTGGACACAGATAAACCTTCAAGTGTTTCAACCACCCTTGAAAAGAATGCAAATGATCAATTTGCAAGGAATATAAATCCTTCCATTTCCACACCATCCAGTCAGAGCTGAAGAAGCTTCTCGGATGAGAAGCGAAACGTCTTCAAGGAAAAACCGAGAAAGACCAGTTGCCTCTTGGGGGGGGGGGGAAGCACTTTTGGCACAGCCACGACTTGGATGACTTAGAATTTCTGCATTGAATCTCTGGATGGCTTTGCTGATCTGCAGGCTGTGGCTTTGCAGGCCAGCTATCTCGCAACCCCTCCCGGCCGCCAATCAGATCCACCCTGTCTCATCTCCAATTTTCTCCCAGGGGAAAAAAAAAACCCACATTTTGTGACTTGACTGTGCTTTTATCTCAAAATCTGGAGAACGTTCCCAGTTGCAGCCTGGAACAAAAGCCCGACCCTTTTAAGAAAAGCCAGACCTGGATGGGGCGGCAGTTTTATTGTTGAGTTGCAGATCTTAATTTTGAAGAGCAAGGTCAGCACACTTCTCTGGCAAGCCTCTTGGGAGCTGCCTGCAGTTTTCCTCCCCCTAAATCTTCAGCCACCCCCCCACACACCCAAATTCCCAGATTTTTCCTCACTCCCCACCCAAGAAAAGAAAGCACAGGAAGTGACTTCATAGATGACTGAACCCTCGTTTCCCCCCCCCTTTTTTTTAACAGCTTCTCTAGGCAGACGGACTTGCAGGATTTAACCCTTACTTCTAATTTCCAGAGGAAGAAATAAAGAGGACGGAAAAAAAGGAAAAGGCCTCTGCAGTTAATATTTGGAAGAGACACCGGAATTTGCAGGCAGCAAAAAAACCATGTGGTATTTTCCCTCCTTTCCAAGTTATGTCATTGCAGAGTTACGTCTGCAAGATGGACGTTCTGAGTTCAAACAACATTTGATTTGGTCTTCGTTTCTTTTTTGGTTTTATTAAATTCTATTCTAATTCTATTCTATTCCTATTCTATTCTATTCTTATTCTTATTCTATTTTAATTCTAATTTTATTCTAATTCTATTCTAACTCTATTTAATTCTAATTCAATTCTATTATAATTCTATTCTTAATATTCTAATTCTATTCTTATTCTATTCTAATTCTATTCTATTCTATTTTATTTCTATTCTTATTCTAATTCTATTCTTATTCTAATTCTATTATTCTTATTCTAATTCTATTCTAATTATATTCTATTCTAATTCTATTCTTATTCTAATTCTATTCTAATTCTGTTCTATTCTAATTCTATTCTAATTCTAATTCTATTCTATTCACTGTAGTAAATCGAGGACTACTGGTATGTCATAATAAAATGGAACTATAACTAAGAACAATGTATGTCTGTCTCACTCATGGGCTGGGAATGAGAGGAAGGCACAGAAGAAAAAGAGGTTGATAGATCACCTATACTCTTGTAGGAGTCATCCATAGATCAAATAATGACAATGCTCCAGCTGTTCATTTTATTTATGTGGATCTGGTGGTAAATCTGTGTACAATTGTTTCCATGTAAGTAGGAAATGCTCAACTTTGCGCAGAAAAGGACAGGTGGACTGTGGGAAAAGTGCCCCTTAGTTCCCTCCCCTTGACAGTAAATTTGATTAAAAGGAGTTGGATAGGAATTAAATATGAAACTGGCAGAGACTCAGAATATGGAAGTTTCTCAGCTTTCCTTGAACTGGTTTTTTATCAGAATCCACATTCTTGCTTCTTCTTCAACCCCCAAAGCAATTAATCCAGGCTGTGCAGGAACACAAGGCTGCGCCACCCACACGGCCCGGGGAAAGCCTCCCCACCCACTCACTCCTTACCTGGCAAACTTGCCTGCTAAGTTACTATTTTTCCTTTTTTTCCCCACGACCATCAACTGTTCTGCTGTGCCGGGAGATTTAGATTAGCTAAAAAGCAGGAAATCATTGGATTTCTTGCTTTCTAGCCAATCTTTAGATCTTCGGCTCTGCTTTTAAGCAGAGCCAAACCTTCCTTAGGACTGAAGCTTCTATTATTCAGTGCAGACTCAGGTAGCCAATGGCAGAAAGATAGATCTCTGAGTGAATCTGTGATGCTGTGAGCAACTCAATCTGCCTGCCTGCTTTGCCTGATTTTCGGTAAAAGTTGCTCTTTTTTTATAAAAAATTCAATATTTACATAAATATTTATAATATTTACATACAAACCATGCCCACCAAGCCACACCCATAAATTAGGCCACACCCACAACTGGTTATTAAGAAATTTGAATCCCACCCCTGCCTGTGTGTGTGTGTGTGTGTGAGAGAGAGAGAGAGAGGGAGAGGTTAGATCAGATCTCTCTCTCTCCCAACAATGTCAGCAAGCCACCATCAGTCAAAATTCATATTAGTGGTCCACGGGATTTAAAATTATGAGTTTGGTGGGCCCTGAGGCCCAAATGGTTGGCGACCGCTGGCTTAGATAACAGGAAAAAGCAACATGAAACATTATTTGGGTGGCCAATCTAATTTCTTAGCTAGCCTTCTGTAATATGGATTCTTGCTTTAGCTCTGTGTGGAACCAAATACCGTCCGATACTTGTCCTCAAGATTCAGGTGCAACTTTTGGCAAACAGATCCTCCCACCAGAGATTTGTCCTTGTTGCCTCACCAAGTTCTTGCAACACCCATTTTGTGATTCGAGTAGCACAATGATCTTGGACTCTCCCAGTGTTTGAGCCGGGATTGGCTATTTTCACAGTCCACCTTTCAATCAGTGTTTTCAAATTATGGAAAATCATCATTATTCCGTTTGGATGAGGGATTCTGGGAGTCGAAGTCCACAAGTCTTAAAGTTGTCAAGATTGGAGACCCCTAAATCAGGTCATGGGTGTCCCAAAAGTGCTTTTTCAAGAGGCCACTGGACTTCCTTTGTTTTTCTTTGAAGTCGTTTCGCTTCTCATCCAAGAAGCTTCTTATTTTTAAAATAAATTTTATTAAATATACAAAAAAGAGACATTTAAAAACAACAATGAACGTGGTACATACATCCTGACACACTTGATTGTCTTACATCATTAAATAATAAATACAGAATGTAATACAAATTTACATATATAAATAAGCTTTAGTCATTTTTGGTATTCTTGTTCCTTCCTTTTTTCAACCAGTGGTAAAACTTCTCCCAAATTCTATAACAATCAGATTCGGTCTTATTTTTTAATTCTTGAGTTAATTTATGCATTTTGGCCCACATCCAAATTTTCCTAATTATTTCCATCTCATCTGATGTTTCATTACCTTTCCATCTTTGGGCATAAGCTAATCTTGCAGCTGTGGTGATATGGATTATTAAGTATTGTTAGGAATGTAAGTCACCTAACAGCTATTTGGGTTGGAAATATATAAACCAGGATAGACATTTTAGTACTATGTCTTTTAAGAGATTGCAAAAACTGCAATTGGGTGTGGTTTCTCAAAGGGCCATAAGATGGAGCCAGAAACATGGGTTGTTTTAGTCTCTTTAAGTCTTAGTCTTAGTCTCAGAAGAGAGTGTGTCTGAGTGAGTATCTCTGTTTCCTTCTGCTGGAGAGTTTTGCCGTACCTCATAATTGACTGGTATTCCTGGATTTGATGTAAGTCTGATACTGAACTGTTTTTGACACTGGACTTTGATATTGTAATTATCCCTGGACTGAAACCTGACTGATTTACCTGAGAATGATTTTGGACTGCTTATTTTGAACTTTGCTTAAACCTTTCTGGAAGTATATACCTACATTTACTGTACAGTGTATCTGTGTGCTGTGTGTGTATTATTCAAACACTTCTCTCAAATACATCTCCCTGTATGCGCTCATTCTCCTAACAGGGAATTACCTCAACAAGTATATTACATCTTTATTAAATTTTCCCACATTAATTCCCAATAGAAAATCCTAATCCTAATCCTGACTGGATGGTGGAGAATCAAAGGATTTATGACCAGGTGCCTGCAAGGAATATAAGTCCTTCCATTTCCCCACCCCCCAATCCAGTCAGAGCTGAAGAAGCTTCTTGGATAAGAAGAGAAACATCTTCAAAAGAAAAACCAGAATATCCAGTGGCCTCTTTTTTTAAAAAAAGCATATTTGGGAGAACAAATTGAATGTTGAGTAATGTTTAACGGTATAACAGAGTTGGAAGAGACCTTGGAGGTCTTCTAGTCCAACTGCCTGCTCAGGCAGGAAGGAAACCCTATATACCATTTCAAATGGTGGAACAAGGAGTGATAGAAGTGATAGATCGCAACAGAATACCCTACAGCACCAGACTTGAGATTCTAGGCTTAGACAACCTTGAACTACGCTGGCTAAGATTGGACTTAAGCATAGTATATAAAATCATATGTCACAATGTCTTACCAGTTAATGAATTGTAGGAAGTTATCACCCACCCCTCTCCTAGAAAAATGAAATATCCTGGGAAATATTAAAAAGGCAGAACATTTCCTCTAAAAAGAGTAGAAACTCAAAAGCAGTAACTCACCTCAGAAGTAGAAGGTCACCCCCACCTTTGTTAATGGGGGGGGGCATTAAGGCCTGGGCCAAAATACTTTACATAACAAAGATCTCCAGGTAAAGCTATAGCAATTGCTCAAAACTCCTTTCAGTGCATCATCACCCAGCAAGGCTCAACCAAGCCTGGAGCTCAGGACAGCCGACAGAGTTGCCCCGCATGGCCTTCTGGAAGTCTGACAACCAATCAGAATACAGGCTCCAATTCAAATCCCAACAAACATTATAAAACCCAGGCACTCTCAGCATATCATCCCTTCCTTCACCTTGGAGCATGTGATCATCCTTCTTTGGAGCTTCAAGCCACATGGTCCTGCCGTCCACCATTAAACCACCTTCCAAACAGCCTCCATGTTTCCAAACAGCCTCCATGTTTTCCCCACTTGGAACTGAACCCAGAAGGATTTTGCTTCTTACAGAATATTAATATTAATACTAACAGAGAGTGTGTGGAAAGAGTTCATAGTTTTAAATTTCTAGGAACTCATATTTCTGACAACCTTACTATAACCACTGCAAAGGAGGCCCAACAGCGCCTGCATTTTCTGAGGCTGTGGAAAAAGAGTGGTCTGGGTGAGAAGTCGCTAGTTACTTTTTATCATCGAGAGCATTTTGGCATACTGTGTAACTGTGTGGCATGCTGGATGCTCTGTAGTGGATAAGAAGATGCTCCAGAGAGTTATAAACACAGCACAAAAAATCATCGGTTGCTCTCTTTCTTTTTTGGAAGAGATTGCAAAGACCAGACTCCTCTCTAGAGCACTAAAAATCTCCACAGACCGTTCTCATCCTGGTCATTCATACTTTGAACTGTTACCATCAGGGAGGGGTTACAGGTGTCTTAAAATGAGGACTAATAGACTGAGAAACAGTTTCTTTTCCAAGGCAATAATTGTCCTGAATCAAACAATGCATATGTGATTTAGCCCTATGTATATAGTGGCATTTTTAAACTATCTAACTTAACTATAGGTTTTAGATAGGTTTTAGACTAGGTTTTTAATTATTATTTTCATTATTTTAATTTTTAAATACTCTGTAGCGTGATTGTGATGTGCTTGGGACACTGTGCTGGAGTAGCTTTCAAATTTAATTGTATTTGTAGAATGCAATGACAATAAAGGTATTCAATTCTATTCAATTCTATTCTTTTATATTCTATTTCCATTCTATTTTATTCTTAGTCTATTATATTCTTGTTCTTATTTTCTATTCTGTTCTGTTCTGTTCTGTTCTGTTCTGTTCTGTTCTGTTCTGTTCTGTTCTATTCTATTCTATTTCAGCTTTAACCACAACAACACAAGAGCACACAACAAATATAAACTTAATGTAAACCACTCCAACCTTGGATTGCAAGGAAGTACGATTTCAGCAACAGAGTGGTCAATCTCTGGAACTCACTACCTGATTCTGTTGTCACCTGCTCGAACCCCACTCCTTTACCCTCAAACTAACCTCTATTGACCTTAGAGGTCCTAAAGAGGTCTGTAAAAGGGGCGTGCATAAGTGCACCATCGTGCCTAATGCCCCTGTCCTATCATCCCCAATGATTAGTTCCTATTTCTTGTATTTAAACTCATGTTTATTCTTGTTTCTGTTGAATTGTAAGCTTTTGACTGACTAACTAACTAACTAACAAAATAAAAAAATAAAAAAAATAAAAAAATAAATAAAATAAAATAATAATAAAATAAAATAAATAATAAAATAAAATAAAATAATAAAATAAAATAAAATAAATAAAAAATAATAAAATAAAATAAAATAAAATAAAATAAAATAATAAAATAAAATAAAATAATGAAATGAAATGAAATGATAAGATAAGCTAAAATAAAATAAAAAATAAAATAAAATAAAATAAAATAAATAAATAAATAAATAAAGTTTCAGAATGTAGAGCTAGCTTTTCCTCAAATGTTATTTACACACATACACACACACCCCCAAAAAACCCCTCCACTTGTCCATGCTTGCCAAAACCTATGGAAAGGAAGAGGAGAGGGCCTCTCTCTGGGCGAACTGGGTAAGGGAAGGGTTAATTTCCCGCAGAGCATAGGAAAAAGACCGCTCTAGCCCTCTTTACCCTCCGAAGCGGAGCCATCCTCCTCCTCCTCACCATCCGGCTTTCCTTTTTTTACTGTGTACCGATCGCCGCCGGCTAGACAGTCTCTCGCCGGCGGTTCCTCCTATCACCGAGAACCTTCGGGGAGTTTGGGGCGGGCGGTGGGGGGAGGAAGGGGTTCCTAGAGCGCCTCGTCAGGGGAGGAAAAACTAAAATCAATAAAAGCGAAGAGACCCAGACCGGATGTGACGAAGATCGTTTGCGTTCTCTCTCTTTTTTTTTTTAAATCCCCCACGCTCCCCCCTCCCCTTGCACCCTCCGCTCTCGGGGCGTCTGCCGTCTCTCTTGCTTCCTCCCCCCTCCCGCCCCCACCGCACCAGGCACTTGAAGCGGCGCTTCCGAAGCCGAGTCGGGGATTTTGCGGCTCTTGCGGGCGGAAGAGGCCGGTGAGTCTCGGGGAGGCCGCTGGCAGGGCAGCCCGGATCAGCAGCAGCAGCAGCAGCAGCCCCCCCATTGAAATCAGCAGCCGGGAGGAGGAGGGGGATCTGCGGGAGCCCCCAGCAGGGCAGCCTCCTCGGGCACGTCGCCCACGTGGAGCCTCGGTTGACTCCTACCGTTACTTCGCCCCTTCCAGCCACCCCGAGGATGCGGCGGGGGCTGGAGGGAAGCGCTTGGCCGGAGACACCCCCATCCCCCGCCCAAAGATCCCGGGGTTGGGGTGGGGTGGGGTCTCCGATCTCCAGCAATCCAGCCCCCTCCCGGTCGTCCTTGCAAACCCCGGGGTTGGGGAAGAAGCCACAGCCGCTTCCCTCCTTCTTTTCCCCTCCACCCGGCCATAACGGTCCCCCATGACTTTCAAGAAGAGATTGGACTCCCATCGGTCAGAAATGGTGTAGGGTCTCCCGCTTGGACGGGGTGGGGGGTTGGACTGGATGACCTACAAGGTCCCTTTCCAACTCTGATGATCTGTTATCCCCTTCCCCAGAAAGGGGTCGGAGGAGGAAGCCCCCCAGAAGGGTCCCTTCCAGAGAGGTCGGAGGAGGAAGCAGGTCCTTAAGGTTTCATATTGGCTGGGAAGGCTGGGGTTTGTAGTCCCGATGGCCACTGGATGGGTTTTCCACCTCTGCTTTAGAAAGGCCAGGGGGCGCCAGCCAGGGGAGATGGAGGCTGTGGCAGGGCAGTTATTTATCATTAACTAGCAGGGTTACCCTTGCTTCTTCCGTATGTGATCCGGCCAGTTTTGGGGGAGGAAAATAAGGGAGTGGGGGGAGTTCTGCCTCGACCTACCAGCATCCATCGGTATTCATCCGGCTAGTGTCCTGTCAGTGTGTGAGAGAGTAGAGGGCTGTTTGGAAACTGGAAGAGTATTTGCTGTGTGAGCAAGAAGGAGACAGCAAGGAGCCTGGGCGTGGCTTAGCTCAGCTGCAGTTGGAACAGATTTCTTTTCAGGTGGGGAGGGGGAGTGGCACTCCTTAGCATCAGAGCATGTTAATAATAATAATATAGGAAATACTAATGCTCTGGTGGTCATTAGTTTTGGGGGAGGAAAATAAGGGGGAAAAAATTCTGCCTCTGCCTACAAGATCCATCGGTATTCATCTGGTTAGTGTCCTGTCAGTGTGAGTTGAGGGCTGTTTGGAAACTGAAACAGTATTTGCTGTGAGCAAGGAGACAGCAAGGAGCCTGGCCGTGGCTTAGCTCAACTGTTCTGTACCTTTAGTACACTGCTTGGTGTACTATTCTGTACCTGCTTGGCCCTGTGAAACTGAAACTCCTCTGCTTGTGTTTTGCATTTAAAACATTTATTTTCAGGTAAGGAGGGGGAGTAGAACTCCTTAGCATCAGAGAGTGTTAATAATAATAATATAGGAAATACTAATGTTTTGGTGGTAATTTCAAAAAAATCCTTTCTTAGTGAGCACCTAGAAGCCAAGAGGAACATACATACCAAATTTCAAGTTTGTAAGCTTTACAATTCTGGAGATTTTGTGATGATGCGTGCGTGCTATTTCGCTTTTATAGAGAGAGAGATTATTTTTTTCAGTTTATAATATTTTAAAGTACTATTGAGCTAAGTTAATGACAAGTGGTCCTCAACTTACAACAAATCGTTTAGTGACTGTTTGAAAAAAAGGGGACATGTGACTGTCACCCTTACAACGGCTGTGGTAGCCTTCTCTGTGATCGTGGGATCGAAATTGAGATGCTTGGCAACTGACTCATATTTATGACTGTTGGAATGTCCTGGGGTCATGGGATTCCCCTTTTGTGAACTTCTGACAAGGGGAAGCCAGGTTCACTTAACAGCCATGTTACTACTTTAACAACTGCAGTGATTCGCTTAACAGCTCTGGCGAAACTTGTAAAATGGGGCAAAATTCACTTAATTAATGTGTTTCACTTAGCGATGGAAATTTTGGGGTCAATGGTGATTGTAACTGTGGCTGTAAGTAGAGGACTAGCTGTAATAGAAGAGCTCTAGAATATTGTATGTGTTGCCTTTCTACATTTTGGAATAAGTAAAATAGCATGCATTGCCATCAAAAAAGCATTAAGAAGAAGGGATACCCTTAAATCTCGCTCATTGTCTAACTGTATGGTTGGTCTTTTCAGCATATATTTTTTTTCTGACATATAAGATCATAAACAGATACTTTTACTTTAAAGTAGATACATTATATGAAGAGCCAACAATTTTTTAAAGAGTTTTTATTTCACCGTTCCAGATTAATGATATTTTGAGATGGGTTACAGCTGGTATGAAGTCATTCTTAGAAAATCAGAGCATTATTTTAATAAATAGCACTTTAAAGGTGCTCCTAATCCAGATCAGTGCTTCAAGTAAAGCAAACCATTTGGAAACAGAATATTAACTCTTAAAATCCACTCGAGAGAGAAAAATATTTAAGTCTTGGGGAGGAATCATATATGTTTTCTTTGTTCTATAGATATGCACTCTCTGGTCTGGTCTGAATGGATGTTTTATTCTTTAAATCCTGAATTAGGGAGGAGAACAAAAAATTGTTTCTTCACCTGATGAAATGCTTTCTCTCATAACTCAATCCTAATAGTATATTTTCCCAAACTAAGATGCCCCAGCAACTGGGATATGAAGTAACTTAATTTTACAAACGATTTTGTATTATATGGGTAAGCATTGCTTCTGTCACTGTATCAATCAAACTAAAAAGCAGAACCAGAAATCACCTTCTTTAAAAAAATTGTGTTTCTGTTCTTTTCAGAGGTACAATGTTTGCTGCTTTTAAATCCTGGCTTTATGCAGTCCAGCTCTAATTAAATGTTCAGGAGATTTCAAATTGTGCCATTTTGACTTGCCTTTTAAAAAGATATTGCCCTACGGTGGATTTTATAAGGTTAAAAAAAAAAAATCTTGCAGTGAATTTGAATTATTTCACACAGTTTTAGGTGATTTTAACACACTCATAATCCTACTGGCTCTAGGCAATTTACAAACATGTTAATGTAAATCTGTCATTAAAAGCCAACAACAGAAGGCCTAGTTAAAAAGATAATCTTTTCAGCTCCCTTCTAAACTGTAAGCAAGAAGGTAGCCAGATTTTATTTCGGTGGAAAGGAAGATATACTACAGAAAGGGCAGAATGCAGATGTTGATTTGATCTCATTTTGATTGATATTTTTTTAAAAGAAAGCCTTCATCCTTTTAACAGCATCTTTTTATATGACTATAACTTCCTGATTCTCTCTGTTGTTTTGGAGCACAGATTTGATCATTGATGTGTGTGGTGTGGCAAAATCCAGAAACAAACGAAGGGAAAAATCTATAATGTTTAATGTCAAAATCCATGGTTTATAAATGTAACATTGCTCATTATAACAAATAAGAATGCATGTCGAAAAAGCTTGATCCGCTATCTTATATAAGCCTTTCTGAAAGATCGATATATATATCACTCTGGGATATCCAAAAGGTAACTAGACTTTCTGGTTTTTTGTTTTTTTAAAAAAACGTTTCATTTTTCACTCAAGAAGTTTCTTCAGTCCATCACTCTGGAATATTGTTAGAACTTAACTGCCACTCTAATGAAAACAAACAGCGCAACCCGTGCACCCTATTTGCACATATAAGACCTGAAAGTGTACAGTTTAAAACATAAATACAGTGTAATATAACACCTTGTGTTGGAGAGAACTAAAATTCTACATTTATTAGACTTCAGATTACAGAATAGAGCAACTTGGAGCTTTTTTCATTTCCAAAGCTTGTTAAAGATTTTCCTACACACTACAAAACAAAAATAAGGTACATGTATATTATATATTCTGTTTTGAATGATAGCTTTTCCATGATGTAGTCTAATCAGGAAAACTACTCTGAATTTAAATGCATAATTTTAGAATGAAAAGTAAGTTGAGCAATAATTCTTGTCCAATATATCCTTCCAGATATATTGAACAAAATTCCATTCAACATAACTATCTCAGAGATACAAATTAAGGAAAGAATTAAGGGATGGCACTCTAATTATCTTGGTTAAAAAAAAAAAATCTTGCTCAAAGCAATATTCTTAATTCTTTAGCAAACAATGGCTTCTGGAATGGTTTATAAAAAGCAGTAATATCAACAGAAAGGCTTAAGATGCAATCTTTGATCTTAAAGTTATGCTTTTAAGGATTAACATTTAAGAGGGAAGGTAGAAAACAGAAATGGGAACAACAAAATAAAAAGTTGGCTATCGGTTCTTAGTGTACATGTTGGAAGAAACAGTTTAGGAAACCAAGTTGAATAGTTTTTGATGAACTAACTTAACCATTTAAGGAGCTGCTGTTTCAGCAAAGATAATAATACAGAGCTACTTTGTTTTTCCCTTCCTGCTTTGTAACCTGAGAAAATTATGATTTGGAATAGTTTTCTGACCCTCAAGTCAGAAATGACTGAAGTGAAAAAAATCCCTGGATATACCGTATTTCCCCATGTATAAGCACCCCCTTTGTATAAGCCACCCCCCCAATTTTTGGACTGTGAAGTTTTGAAAAAAATATTTTATTAGAGAAACAAGTTATAAAGAAAGAAAATTTACAAAGAAACAAAATTCGACGTCTAGATCTACAACTTCGGTCATGAGGCCGAAAGCGGTGCGGGCGACGCTAGCAATCTACGCATCGGAACGAGAGTAGGAACGAAGCATTCAGGCCGATGCCTAGCGTATGCATTTCTATCGCGTACTCGCACTCGTAATCGTATCATCACGTACAATTTTTACAAAACAGTATAGCATACTGCTGGAAAACCAGTTTATTCCTACTTTATTATTTTATGCATTTTTCACGTATAAAAAGTGTACCTGCTTTGTATATGCCACCCCCCTACTTTTTGGGCTTGAAAATTTTAGAAAAAAGGGGTGGCTTATACATGGGGAAATACGGTAATCTAACCCAGTTTTTCCTCCTTTTTTAAATGCTTTTA